GATCCACGTAACACCAGCCGCATTGGGCTAATCTAATCTGCATCAGCTTAGCCGTAAATTCCGCCTAAAACAGCTTAAATTTGTTCGCTCTTTTTTCGTAAAATTATGTGCACTGAGGCCTGCATACAATGCCGAGGCAATTAATTACCAATGCATTTATAATTCCAAATTGTGGCTTCGGCTGAGCTGCTTTTGTGTGCAGTTCATAGAGAATTTTTAAATGGCATATATATTTTTTTAATTAAACTAATTGTGCTAAAAACGTGCCCACAACAATTGAATTCATAATGAAAGACGAAAAATAACAATAGAACAAACGAAAAATGTATTTATAAAACTATATAGCAAAAAAATTAATATTATTTTATATATATTTTTAATGCAATCAAAACAACACACACTTTTGCATTAGATGTATTACATACACACACACGCAATTTATGCGTACACGCGGCGTATGCGTAATGCTATTAAGTATACGCTCAGCTCTTAAATAATGAAAGGGTTTCGGTCATAAAAAATTCAAGAAGATACCTAAAACCGTTGACGCACTTCATTTACGTTTTTTACGGCCGAATTTTATTGTTTTTTGCCTTAAACCTTTTCTTCTTTCATTTTAATGCTAAAAGCTGGCATTAGCCTGGTTTAGTTCTTAAAACGTATTTTTTATGGCGAGAGCCATCCATTGTTATCAAATTGCATAATTAGCGTAATTTAAAATATTAAATTTCCACAATCTGGTTTTTTGCGTATTATTTAAAAATATTTCTGCTTTTAATTTATTATTTAATTCATAAGTTACATGGCTCGAAATCTGAATGATACTTCATTTAAAACTCAATTTATGATTATTTCCACACAATTTAATTTCGTAATTGATTTATGCATTTCATTTTGCTGCTTATCAGCGGCCACGAGAGTGACAATCAAAGCAAGTAAATACATATACATATATTGTGATATCCACCACCACAGAGGAGGGAAGAGAGGGAATTGAATGCATTTTATTGAGTATTATTTTTTATATATGGCTTACTATGAAGAGGTAGGTGATTTTTAAAAACACTCACGCTAAATAACAGTTCTTTTGAAATACTACATTCGATTCGTAGCAAAGGATCTGATGTGCTATATATTTAGTATTACATTATTGATAATATATATAAAATATATCCCAGTAAGTGAAAATTTTAATTTTTGATTGAAGATTGATTGAAAAGGTAATAAATAATCATAAAAAATGAAATGAAAACTCAAAATGATGAGCAAACAATTCCCTACTGCACTGTTCATTACAACATTTAAAAAATAAAAACAAAAAATACTTACAGAGCAACTACAAGTCGCGCATGCTCAGAGCTGGTTTGTAAGCAAGAAATTTGAGTAGACAATTTATGTAATATTTTTTTATTCTACTTCTGCATATTATCATCTATAACGAATTTCACTCTTCTCCCTAACTGAAGATATTACAGGATAGCAGCTAGTCGATCATATTCAACTCCGACTTCCATTTAAAGCTGTTTGGCTTTTATGGGCTTTGTTGCTGCTGGAAAATAAACAGTTGCGTTTTTCATATGATTAAATGTTGAATGGGCAGCAGAGATGCTGAATTACAAACTGATTAAAAATGTATGCAAATGTGTACGTAATTAAATAAATTAATTAAGCACCGCCAGCGCTGGGCAGGCACTAGTATCAGACGGCAGGGCAACAGGACAGACACCCCACTCAGTAACTTGACAACCAACCAACAAACAACAACAACAGCAGAAATGGCCACAACTGAAATAACAAAGCAGCTGTTTTAAAAAGCAAATTGAAATTGTTCACCATTTGTATCAGGTCCTTATAGTTGTTGCTGTTG